TAAACCCGAACTACCCAGCTGGCACCACGAGGAGGTTGTTCGGCCAGCCAGAGATGAAAAAGCAGCCCAAGTATATGAAATTGTCTTGTATGTAGTATATGGCTACTGTTAGTGGAAGTTGTGCCCCTCGGAGCCAGCCCTGCCCTATGCCATGTTCTTAACGTGCATGGCATTTAAAGACGAGTCGCACTACATAGCAGTTAGGTTGTCCGCCGTAGTCCCCCATGGCTCAGTGGCATAAGCTGCCGAATGGTGGTTTAAGCCGGTAGTGGTCATCAGTTTGGATTCTGAAGAGCTTATGGATGCGCAGTACTGACGATACCCAACAGATCGGAACGGTCGTCTAGTGCTTTTTCCGGTAGATGAAGGACTATCTGACTTGAAAACTGCTGCGAAGACACCCACAATTAACCCTTTGATTGCTGAATTGATTTCCCATGCCGTTTTCATTAATTTTTCTATCGTAAGATAGATGTTGGTTGGTAATAAACAGAGAAGGAAACTAATTTTGTACAAACAATTGGTGCTTGATTTTATGATGGTACTTGTAGGTACCAGTAGGAACATGGGTCATTAACATTGTCGCCTTGAAGGCTCATTACTAAAAATCATATTCTCGAAAGCAAGACTTTTTCTCATTATAGCAAAAAGAACATTTTGAATGTGCTCTAGATTATATTTTTTGAATGGAACACATTACACATCTTCCCCTTTCTGCGACAAATATAGGCCAGTGAGCGCCAATATGCTGTGTCCTGATGTCTTTAGGCACGGCATGCTTGTTATTCCTTCGTCCCTTCGGTTCATTTGGTGATGACCTCCTATTGAGTGAAGGATCACCACTTTTTTCACTGGTCTGTTTTCCAAAGCAACAAGCCCCATTGCCAAATTTCTTCGAAACTCAGCATTGAGGTGTCATAATGCAATTTTTTATACATTACATATGCATTGACATATGCCATTTCTGTCATTGCAAAACACGCTGTGCCACCGTTTTTGATTTTCGATCACCATCAGATACTGAGCACAGCATATCTGCTTTGTACACTCCGCTGATGGCTGAATTGTAATATCTTTGGTGCGACTACCTCGATCATTGTTCTATTCCGCGCTTTATGCCTCACAGTAACTGAGTCATTTCTATAGTAATTGCACAACTGATGAACACACGTCATCCTTCCAGTTGAAGAACACAATTCCTTGATGTGTACAACGATAATGGAAATCATCTCTTTCCATCTCCTTGTTCTATTGGGGTTTAGGAAGATGTTTTTTGTTGGAACGGACAGTTCCGCAGCCAAAAATGTTGTTTGCCTTCATATTCTCAAATAGTTCAACAGAAGTGAGGTAATTATCCAATACCACAACACAACCACCTCCTTACAGAGTTTAGGTGAATCTGTCCACAACACTTTTCGGACTGTCCTGTGATTTACCTTGATACACTTCAAACTCATAAAAACAGCCACTCAGCCCGACACCATATTTTGTAACCACGTTTTACTGATTTCATTGGGTTAAACTGTTTTAGTGTTGAGCGATCTTTGGAGAGAAGCATGCTCTCTTCTATACTCTGCACTGCATGGTGTAATCACGTCATTTGATACTTGTGATTGAGATCCCGAATAAGAGATCTAGTCTCATAAAGGTTACCCTATTTACCTTCTGGAACGACAGTATGAGGGTAGAACAATCAATTCCCGGATGCACAAACGTTTTATTAATTACAACATAACAAGCATTACATTTTCTCGAAGTGAAAACATAATAATAATGTCAGCTGCACTCCGTAATGGCGCTTTGCTGCCGCGCTACCGCCACCAGTCGCGCGCGGGTCGGGTATACCGCAAGGAGGCTCACTCCTACGCGGATTCGAACCGGGGATCTTATGGTTGCAAACCAGGCGCGCAGACCACTCGGCCACCGACCGATTTTCTCGAAGTACTCTCCACCAACATTCATGCACAGTTCCATGCGCTCAAACCATTTGGAGAAGCGGCTAGACCATGCCGAAGCGGGTAACCCTTCAACCAACACAATAAGGACCTCTGCTGCATCTTCTGGAGACATGTAGCGGATTCCACGCATCATGCGCTTGACATTTGAGGACGCAAAAAGTCACACGAAGCCAGGTCTTGACTGTAAGATGAGTGATCAACCTCGTGAATGCTTTCACTAACCATAAACTCTACGACGACATGGGACCTGTGTGCAGGTGCGTTGTCGTGGAGTAGCGGGGTCCCTCGTGCTCGAGTCCTTGGACGACGCCTGGCTACATCTTCCATCACTTGACAGATAGTAGGTGGCACACCAGTCTCCGGTCACTGTGCGTTGCCTTACGATCGGTACAGTAGCCACATGACCGGTGTTGGCTATCGCACGTATTATCGCGAGTACAATTACAAAGAGGTACTGGTAAGTACTGTCAGGATACCAAGGATTAACCAGAGGTAACGAAAGGTCTGAACGAAAATAAATAACGGGCGTAAAGTCAAGCTTGTTGAGTACGCAACCCTCAAACTGTTCCGCACCCCAGATTCACTATCCTATACCATAATGAGAGCTCAGCTAGATAATTGCATTAATCGATTCAAAGCAATTAGTTTCCCTCAACGATTTACAAACATAGTGAGAAAACGAGTTTCGGCAGTTTCATGTATTTCATATCGTCCCTTCACAGCTGATAACGATAATTATAATTTATATAAACCGTCAGCCGGTTCAGATAAACTTAGAGACAAACGAAAGTAAAAATGGAGAACTTGTCCAATTTGAAGCTGACCTTGAAGTTTGAACTCTACCATTATCTGCTGTTTTATGTTAATCTTATTCCTATCAGTTGTTGTGTTTTAGCCTGACGAGAGCCACCGAAAACGAGTTAGTTCGCTAACTTGTCGTTCTGATGTCCACGCCTGGGATATTTTTCCACTCACTGGATTTGTCAATCACGGAATGCAATAAATATGTACATCATAGCCAGCACAAAACGAATTATTAAAATGTGATGCGTACTTTTCTGTTTAGTGTAGTCAAGTTGAACAACCTTCTCGGAGCTCATTTGTGGCATGCAGAAGCGGATCGATTTATTTGAACGATTTATTATGATTTAAGTGTTCAGTCCCTGGTCACTTCTACAGCCATACCACCGTTTTGTGCGTACGCACTTACTCTGCGACTTTTATATCGTTTCATTCGTGTATTTCTAGTACTTGATGTGTCGATTCTGCATGGTGCGTCCAGACGACAGTGACACCTATCTTCCTTCTAATGGATCAGGTGAATACCTGAATAAACGAGCAGATCGCGTCGACAAACGGGGATCGGACCGGGTTCACTTTTGTACACCCCAACACCACAATGTCTCATCTATACGCCTGATAACTCGCACTTCTTCACACTGTAAGCGGTACTTGTCGACAATCACCTGTCGCACACAGGCTGATTACCGATTGCTCGGACATAAGCCATGTTAACATGATCTTTAATTCGTAATTTCGTTCAAGCTGTCCCGTGAGTTTGGTCAGCGATCGCGGATTTCGACCTTGGTCACGCGAATCGCTCAGGTGACAAAATTCTCTTCAGCATCCTTCTCCTATCACCTGACTCGGCAAGTGTTCTACTCGAACGAGTGAATTGATTGCTAATATATGTGCCGAACAACACGTGCAAATGAGGGGTACCAATCCACTTTTTATGCAGTGACATCTAATCCGATTTTTAGGTGCATGGTTTCTGCTGATACGTGCGTATTAATCCGTCGCCCACAGTTATTGTCCAAAAGCTTTATGGCTTCAAGTGTAAAACGTTAGGCGTCAGGATTGGCCTTTGTTGTGCATGATCGAGATAGAAGGATAGACAGCTAAGATCTTCGCCCCATAGTACGCCGAGCGTGCAATGTGTACTTGGGTTTACAAAACAGTGAATGAACTAATAAAAACCAGGGTATCAAACGAGTGTGGGATCACATTCTCTGGTTGTTATAATACCAATTATTAGCTAATATGTCATACAACCATTTTCTTTCAAAGATCTTAACAGGGCAAGTACAACGAACATTTCTGCGGAATAATCAGAATGCAGCTAATAACTGTCCATAGTTGGGCGTATACTACCCCTCGGCGCATTCCTCAGCAAATCTACCCACCATTGCCTTTCTAACTGGCATGGCGTCGATCACACAGTACGCGTTAGGGGAACCAATAGACTGCTGGGAAACAGGGTTCCCGACAGCCAGTTAAGGTGATGTCGATTTATTTCACCATTCAGATGGGGGATTCACGCGATCCACTCTGCGCTTAGCAGGATATCAAAGCACATAGCTCATAGCGAACACCGGCGGTGGGCTTGCTGTCGCCTACTCTCCGGACTGCCCTTGTTAAGAGCGTATGGTGCTGGGTCACTTATGGAGCAGGGTGAATCATGACGCATGAGAATGAATGCTGCAACCTATTTCGGCGATGCCGCCTTATCCTCGCACGCTAACCAACTGTTTATGACCTTGTATTACTGGGCGCCTTGATCTCGAATGTTTGTTTAGGGCAATCAGGATTCCCTCTTTTTACCTCCATTACTAGAATCAGCACTACGTAGTATTGCATTGCTGTTGATGCTGAGGACGAAGCCACCGATATACTTCGGTCGATTTCGTTCTCGGCTGTTATAGGGCGACTACGTTCTTTGCCTATTATTTGTCAGAGAGTTTACAGTTTAAATAGCTGTGCAGCTCCACCCAACGACGAATCCAGTGAGAGGCTAGTTTTAACAATTGTCCTTGTCGCTTATACGTTAAGCTCATGTGCATATACGAGGGTTATTACGAGTCAGCTAAGGAAAATATTAATTGTAAATTGCTCCGCTCTCTTCTGGTGCCACTATGGGTCACTGTAAGCACCTGAGCTTCTCATGTGTATCACAAAAAGAATTCCAACATCTATACTGCATCTCCCTTTTATCATTGTTCATCTCATTTCTGTGACGCGCTTCGTTTCCCTCAATTTCAGTCTGGTCAATGACCGCTTCTCCATGTTTGTCCACGGGTGCAAACAGCGGACACCTGGACACATATAACTCATGCGAACTACTTACAACCAATTCGTCTTCCACATACACGACGCTCTTGTCCCACGGTCAGGTAGCAGAGCATCCAAACATCGATCGCCTACTAGAGGCGCTACGATGTGTTGATCAGCATTCCTCTCGTTGTGGATTACTCTGCTGTCCAACGGAATTGATGAACAACTCAGAAATCGCGCCAGTTAAATGCAGTGACGCTGTGCAATTACAGCTTGCAAATTTGCAGTTGCTACTCACCGTGGCCGGGCAGAATGTTACCCCTGAAACTCAGTCAGCACCAACGAGTTCTTCAGTTAATGTCCAAAGTTCCGTTTGTGACACGTCAGTGTACCAGAAATTCATGTGCACCGTTGCGGATGAGCTGCAACATCGCAAAGAAAACGTCATTCCACTTTTCTCTTCCGTAGACTGTGCTCCGACAACATCTCCCAATTTGCTTCACCAGTTGCTGAGTGGAGCAGACATCGCGCAGGTCCGCACTCGAAGCGGCCTCATCGAGACCAACTTTTGTGCATCGGGGACGCCCGAGTTGTCTATTAGTGACTCCTCCGGGTGTTTAAACCCCACCCGGGTCGCAACGCATCCGGAAAAAGTCAACACTGCCGTCGATGCAGTTGATCAATCCAGTTATCACTATGAGTGTCCATCGTCCGCCGATCCCCATACCACTTCCTCGCTACCCTGTTCCCCGGACCACGCCTCTACAACTGGCTGGACGGCGTCCGATTCATCCTCAAATCAACCCCAAAATAGTTCGTCAGCATATCAGGGTAACTTGGCACTTCCATTGATTCTGTTTACTGAAAAGCTTCTCGATTTGTTAAAAGAGGTGGAATCTACCGCTGTTGTCTCCAGTTCGTTGTCATCTTGTAGCACGAAGCCTTCGAGTTTGAATTCCGTCCGACTCGTACCCTCTTTCGATGGAGCCGCTGAACCTAACACCGATAATGTTGACGCGGAAACTTCTGACAACCTTTCTTCACATCGTTTGCAACAACTATGGGTTCCCGATCTGAGGCCCTCCACTTACTCCAGTAACGGAGATGATGCTTCTACTAAGAGCCAGTCGCCTACGCCTACTTTACCTCGGAGCCGACCTGGGAGGAATCATCAGGATTGTTCGAGTTCTGGTATGACGCTTTACTCCGCGGCCCCGACAATAGTTATCCATCGAATGGATCGGGTTCCATCCGTACAGCAACATTCCCAGAGTAGACCCAGGAGTTACAGCGATTTACATCAGGGAATGCGCTACCGCCACAAACTTCATCGTGCACATCGGATACGAAGTCCGAGCAGGGCGGATAAACTCTTCAGACCAGCTTGTGGTTTTATTGAGACTGAAAAGCTAACTCGAGAGTTGGAGTCCAGCCTTTTCGCGCAGCTTGTATTAAGTACGGATCCGCCGTCTTCCAAAGAAGAAGCGTACAGTTTTCCGTGTAAAACCGATCGCACGCCAATCGCACCTACAGTGGTGCCTTCTGCATGTGAATCACCGTCAACTGGGTCAGCTGCTACTTTGACGTGCGTTACTCCGCCTCGCGAACGTGTGTTTGAGTGGTTACGTGAGGCCGACCTGTTCATCGCGGAGCACTGCCGCGAGATCCCCTTGGGAACTCTACTGTCTGTTGCTATCAGTCCAGCCCGCACCAACTTGATTGAATTGTGCACAGATCTGTTTTCTTCCCAATCTTCCGAGACAGTTCCACCGTCTGCAAAACGTGTCACATCCAAAATGTGGCATCAGTTTCTCCTGCTGTCCCTTTGCGAACATAGTTGCGTCCCCACAGCTTCTGTGCAGTCTCTTGTCGCCGAGAGTTCGGTGGGAAAATGGAGGGATGGTTTTGACTGTCGTCAGCCAGGGAAACAGAAGTTGTTAAACGCTCTTCACTCCCTCGCCGCATTGGAGGTAGAGGATCCTCCATCCGTGGATACATATTTGTTGGAGGAATTGGCTGATTTCATTACAACAGCGAGTTCTCTGAACCTCAGTCAGGATGTGTACAAATCTTTGCGATTCTGCATTTTGGCCCAGAGTAAGTGTTCTTTAACCAAATACACTTTCTGTATGTTTCTGTGCCGTCCAGTAAAACATTGTGTGGTTGTGAAATAAATGATAATATCCGTAGCTCGGGGTGTGGATGCGGATTTTGAGCTGTTCTCCGAGGTGAGTGGTTATTTTACAGTCGTTTCGTTGCCAGACAAGGCAACATCATCAGTGCGACTCCAGAGGCCTGGTTCGCAGTGCGTCGTAAGCGACTTTAATGTCCAAGTGCTTATTGCTCTAGTTCTGCTTTGAATGCCAGCCTTCAATGAACTCAGGTACTTGCCGACTTTTAGCCCTTCGCAGGATGGTGACGTGCTCCATGTCGAATTGATGGTTCTCGGCATCCATATACACTGACATCAGGGACTTCTGAACGTGGCGACGAATGGCTAGGCTGTGTTCGTGTAGCCTTGTACCAAGCTTTCTTCCAGTCTGTCCCATGTAGTATTTGTCGCAGTTCCGGCAGCAGATCTTATGAATCACACCAGTTTCTTCCTCTTTGCTAAGTTTATCTTTCACTTTGAAGAGCTTATTACGAATTGTTTCCATTGGCTGGTGTAAATCTTTGACTCCAAAAGGTACTAATAGCCTCGCTGCCATTTAAAAGATTCTGTTGATATAGGGCAAAGTGGCTCTCTTTTTAACGTTCCCATTTGTCGAGGTGTGCTGAGAAGCTTTTTGTGGTGCGGGGCAGCGTAGAGTGAAGACTTTTGGGTACGAGTTCCGCTTGAGCAGACTGAATATATGGTCTTCCTCCGCCCGTCTCAGTTGCGGTGTGCTACAATGTTTGCTCTCGTTTGAAAAGGGTTTACACGTAGCTGCTTTTGTGGGCTGCTGGATGATTGTTGCCGTAGTTGAGGATCTGGTCCGTATGGGTAGATTTTCGGCAGACTGTTGTTTCCAATCGTCCAGCACCACTCCTTCGTATGAGAACGTCTAAGAATGATAACTGCACGTTGTTCTTCTCCTCCCTGGTGAAGTAGATGCCATCGAACACACTGTTGCTTAGTTCGTGTGTTTCCTCCAATTCGGAACGTTTGAGGATGACGAAGGTGTCGTCTACCCAAAGGTGTCCTACCCAAAGTTTTGGTCTCGCGATCGGAAGTGCTATTTGTTCTAGTGCCTGCATCACTGCCTCGGCTACCAGACCAGAGATCGGCGAGCCCATTGGTGTGCATCTTGTCTGTTCACAAATTTGTCTATCAGAAATGTGTTGTTATACAGAATTCTAGTAACTCCAACATTTGCTTGGCATTGAGTTTATTGCTTGTATCAGACAACGTCTGGTCCTCTAGCAGGCGCGTTGATTGTTTTTTCGCCAAGTTGATGTCGATCGAGCTGAACAAGGCGGTAACATCAAAAGTGACCATTATTTCGTCCCGTTCAATGGCTGCAGTTTTAAGTTTCTCAAGTAACTGTTCTGCTGAGTTGATCGAGTGTTCCGATCCAGCGATTAGGTGTTTTAGCCGTCCCCAGAGTTCCTTTGCAAGCCTGTAATTTTGGTGCTCCAGCTAACCACATGATGGGGCGAAGCAGCACTTCGCTTTTGTATACTTTAGGTAAGCCATAGAACCGCGATAGTACCGAGTCTTGTGGTCGCATTATCTTGCGCTCCAATTTTGTGATTTTCTCCATTTGTTCTAGTCTTTGCAGAGTGCTTCTCATGTTGCCTTCTAAGCGTTTTTTCGGGTCTTTGTTTATCGGCTGGTATGTGTTGGTATCACTGAATAGGTGTTGTGCTCTCATCATGTAATCAGATTTGTCCATTATAACAGTAAGGCGTCCTTTGTCGCCGGTAGTATAACTATGCTTTATCTTTCTTGCGGTACTCCAGAGCTTTCGGTTCAGCGGCGTTGAATATGTTGGTTTCAACTTTATGACTGAGAGCCGGCATGATTCTGTGTCTGACCTCTTGTTGTGCTTCAGGCGGGATGTACGATTTTAGTGTTGATCCAAGTGCAATGAGGAAGTCGATGGGATTGGAGTCCTTAACATTGAGTCGCATACCTCGGGCAATGACTGCTTTTTCGCGTTCATTAATCTTCTTTTAGATATGTTTGTAATCCAAACATCGTTGGTTTCTTTTTCGAGATCGAATTCAATTCTCTGCAAGCCTCCGTTTGATGTGTAACTTTGTCTTGTGTTTTTACGGCTATCGCTTCTTCCAATTTTTCAGTAAATTGTGATCCTAGTCTGGATAAGCAGCTTGCCTTCTGTTCATCAATCACCATTTGGCATTTATGCTTTCGACAGTGTGCATCCCTAATCCACAGGCGTAACATTCTTTGCCCATGTTCTCTTATCTTCCAAGCCAAAAGATGGTTGATCGGAGGACGGTAGTGCAGACTCGGCGGCAAAACGTGCCTTCGCAAACGTTTGTAGAGGAAATAGAGCTGCTCGTCAGTGGATGATTGCCGACTGGCAAATGTCTCCCATCGGCGAGCAGATTTTAGCGCGTCGCGCCCAAGGTGATTTGAAATAAATGAGTATATCCGTAGCTCGGGGTGTCGATGCCTTGTCTGGCAACAAAAGGTCTGCAAAATAATCACTCAGCTGGGAGAACAGCTCAAAGTTCGCACTGTGTGACTGTTTCCTCCTTTCAGGACTCGTCAACAGGGCACCTTCCATCTGACTCCTATGAGGCTCGAAGCAGCAACTCGACTGTTGTCAGTCTGTGGTTAAAACAACTGAGCTATGTTGGACCATAACGACCGACACGCTTGTTAGTAAATGTGATATACAGGGGGCAGTACCGGCAAGCTGGCTAAGTTATTTGAACTCACTTGTTGACCGATGGTGAGTTTAGCCTGAGGAAGCACTGTGATTTCAGTAAGTCTGATGGCTTCTCGACAGTTTGCCTTCAACTTGCTATCAGACTTCCGCACGTCTTGCCGTTGCATACGAACTCGATGTACTGGTACATCAGCTTAGGTACAGTCAGTTTCCTACTACATAAGAGCGATCACGAGGCTTGAGATGCCGCCTAAGACAGCACTTAGGGTCGTCTTAGTCAAAAGCGGCGGCGGATTATCAATGTTCCCCCTCTTGTGCTCCACTGCCATTAACATATGAGTAACAGGGTGTTTCGCCACTACGCCAGTAACCTATATTGCTGCTTTGCTGTTGTGACCCCACAAACGGCTGCACATTGGTTAGGATACCGCAGGGAGGCCCTACTGCAGACGCTGCATTCTGAACCCGAAATGTATCCCCTCTTTGCGGTCTCATCACGGTATCGGCAGTCCACCGATACCTTGTCCGGACGCTTGGCTGCCATGGGACCATCAACAGTCGCGTGCGGGCTAGAGATACTACAAAGTGTCCTGCATGTATGGAAGCCAGTGACTTGTGGATTACAAAACAGGCGCGTGAACCACTCCGCCACCAGCCTTGATATAAGGTTTCAGCAGTACTCCGGTACAACGTGTTGATGATTCGCTTTCATGTAACCGTCAGCGATTGCATACGATTTGGGATATTGCAAGTGCGTCCAAACTCATTCGGGAACGGGGATTCGAACACGGATTTCGGTCTAAATCTCAGCCAACCACTGAACCACTGCTTTGTGGATTCTCTGCTTAACCAAGACACCCTGACTGGCTGCAACGTAAGTATGGAAATGGGATAGTGTGCGAGTACAAATTAGTAAGCCATCCTGGATACAGTACTCTCCATAACCTGATGGTACTATATAGAGCTAGACCAGCAGATACAATGTCTCCCTACCACCAACATTCAGCCGACTTTTTTATTAACGAAATTCCCAGGAGACCTAATCGGTTGACTACTGAGTGAACTTGTATTACAGCCAAAGGTATTAGCTCACTCTGATCACACGTAGGCGTTGTCAGTGCATGTGAGCATTATAGGAGTACTACCTGGTTGCCATTCTTTGCCTGCTTTCCACGTGTACGAGTTTAGTATTACCGACTCTACCAAGTTTTCTGTAGCGGTCAATGTCATACCCGCCAATTGAAGCAATTGGCGACTGAGCCATGGGTTTGGCGAGGATGATGCTGGCTTCAAATGTAATCACAAATGAAAACCCGCAGTCCAACTGCCTTCAACTATGCTTATTCTGCATCTAAGCCTTGTTCTTTTTTGTTCCAAACCGTTCTGGATTCAATCTAGCTTCATTTCACGTGTGTCGTACCCTCTGCTACACGACAGTAGCAATCCATTGATATCAGAGTCTTAGTGACATTGGTCGGTCTACACGACCCCCTGAGTGGCTAGATGAATGTCTTGCCCATTTGATGGATGGTGAGCATGCGCCACCTTCAAAGGTAATTACTCATGTCCACTAGTCCATTCTAGTTCTGTTCCTCCGCATTTCATTGCCCATAGAGTGGGCTTGTGGAGGGCGGTGGTGATGCAGCGCAGGATGAACGCGATCACCTCACCTAATGCACTAGAATCTCTCATCGAAAGCTCCGTTGTAACCATGTATGGAAGCCAACTCCCAGATTGCTCACAGGTGACCAGGTTGATCGGCTTGTACGCTGCATTCTGTTTTCTTAAGCAGCAGCGCCTGACCTCGATATTTTTATGTTAGCACTCCTTGAATGCTCGGAACCTCAAGTAATGCACCGTATAGAAGCCATCTGCGGTGGCCATCATTATCTGCATGACCGTCAGTTGCTTCCAATTCACGCTGCTCCACAGTGTGCTTTTGCAGAAGACGTGTTTACAATCCATCTTGCGTGTACGGTGCGGGACCTACCTCATTCTGAGGGCGAGATTTTGCCACTATGGTTGGACGGTCAACCAGGATGCGCAGTGCAGTTAGATGTGTGTAAAAGGACAAGTTGATTCCTTCTACTTTTCGATACCGATTTGACAGTTCGCGGAGTATGTTTATCCACTGACTCACGATAGGCTGTTAGCTTAGCTATCACATCCACTCAAACGAAAAAGACCATCGCCTAATCTTAGCATATTCTCCCTTGAATAATTCACTAGGTATTGACCTCCGGTCGTTTTAATCAC